TGTACATAATATATCGGCAGCACGCTATAGGGCTTCCTCTTCTTAGGCAAGTAGCTTAGGTTGATCTCACTAAACCGGCTATGGGGCGCTTAGTGGCGCATCTACTGGCTGCGGTAAAGATTGGCCTAGTAGCGAGCTAGGGCCGAACATCCCTAGCGGTGTAGTTAGGTCCGACCAAGGCCCTTAGAATACCCCGTGTCTAGGCAACAGCGACGCCAGATATCTATTCTCAAGACTTTCCATCGTGCTCTAGACCCCATACGCCGCGGAGAGGAGGTTAATATGCGTCTATTAAAGTACAGGGTGGATATCATTCTATACCGTCTAGTCCTAAGTCCCGGCTACGGCCTCGATCTCTTACCTTAGCCGTCGAGCCTTATCCTCGAGCTCTTGGCTCTTACGCGTTAGTTAGTCCTTTTCCTCCATCAATTCGCGGATTTTATCTATTATACTAGTAGTCTCGGCATGGAGCGTCTAGATCGACAGCGCGGCACGTTTTCTCTCCTAACTCATCTTATTTTGAAGCTTTTATTTGTCTTCAACAGCCTAATCTAGGACTCTCAAGCACTCGCGGTGCACTACCTCCCAATCATCGTCGGCTAGAATACCATTTTAGGCTGGCTTTGACTTTAACGCCTAAGAAACGTTAGATAGGAATAGATTAGCTCAGATATTAAAGACACTCACTAGAGTCTCTCGTAGCCTATCATCCTAGATGGCAGGGTGTGATCTAGCCTCTATCCCCGCAGCCATAGCTTAGAGAGTTCGATGGGATGAATCACCAAAGCCTAAAGCTCGTTGGCTAGGCTTACTAGAGGTCTTCCCTTTTAAGTTGCGGGATGAGGTAGAAACCTTTAGCATATTAAATCACTAGGTAAGGAACCGCTTAATATAGAAAATGCATATACTGGTGAGGCGGACTTTGTCTATAAAGTTGGATTGGAGTATATTAAGGGCTTTTAAACCCTCGAAGTCTATAGTCTAGTATAAGCGCGCTATGGCACTACTACTGGCCCCGCAATTATGAGGCTAGTGGGCAGCGTGAGCTTTCACCGGCCCCTATAGACACCTAACCTATAGCGGGTCGTATTAGGGGGGAAAGCAGGGGCTTCTTAGATGGTTTCAACGACCACCTCTTTAAATAAGGGTCTTAGCGCTAACATGCATAACCAAACAGATCATTTTCTCACCTCACTAACTAGCCATACTAAGCTTTCCGTGTTATCCGTGAATAGCCTATTGTATTAATTTCCTACTACTCGTAACCGAGGACTTCGCCTAAACTCTAAAGCCCAGCCGCTTTATTGTAACGTAATATGGCTAGTGGGTACTATGATTTTAAAGAACGTTATTAAGATCTAATTGGCTTTATAGGGAACTATGGCGGGTTTAGCCCTGGTGCATTCGCCTTTATTTGATTCCCGTCTCTTCGTATTTTCTAGTGGCGTGATAGCTCTAATAAATATTTCAGGTCCCAAAAATCGGGCTAGTGGGGATATTCTACTTAGATATCGCGGTGATTAAGGATATAATACGCGTTGGGGTAGGTGGCTCTAGATTGGAAGCCCACTTTGAATATAGAAGAGCTCCACCTATCTTTTCTTCCCTCTCTTCGGCCATATTCCTTTAATGGATATATAAATAGCACGACTAAAAAGACACTAGTCTCCCGTCGCTCCTTACCTATCTAATGCTAAACAAGAAAGATTAAAACCCTTTTCTACTTAGTACAACGGCGTGAATACCTCTAGTCCGCATACCTCTAGGGGCTTTTCCCATCCAGATCCAAAAATCAAATGGAGTAAGCAATATTACCCCGCTCGGCATATTTCTAAATCACCAGTCAGTCATAAGATTCTATCTTATAGAGTGAGCCCACATAATTAGAAGGCCTACTCGCTCACTCGTTCCACTTATAGGTATCGAACTCCCTATATAGCGACTCCCACGTTGAACTTGAATATAGAGACTTAGAAAGCTCCCCCGCTATTAAACCCACGTCTAAGATAGATTAAGCCTTAAGTAGCGGTAAGGCTTTTAGACGGGGTAATATCTGGTGGAGGGAGAGCTTTCTAAGGGCGGAACGAGAGCGACCAAAAAACGAAGCCAGAGCTCGTAGACTCTACCACAAGAAGCATTAACTAAGGAGGGAAAATCATCAACTAAGTAGTCAAAATCATCGACTATATAGTAAGAATCGTCAACTAAAGAGTGAGAAGGACGAACTAGAGGCTAGGCTTCGAGAACTATAGCAACAGCATTAAATAATTTTAGTGGCAAATAGAGATAAAGATAAATACATTCTAGGGTCGTTATAGGGAATCTATACTAAGCTGGTTTCCATAGCTTATGCGCTCTAATCCAACAAGTCGCGTGGAGCTTGATGCATAGTATTCTAAGATATACTCTAGGATATAGGGTGCGTTCTGAACAAAATTCAAAGTATAAGATGGTCTTCTCGTGAAATGCGCTAGTTTACTATACGCGGTCGATATATGTTCTCCCCGAGATTAAGGCTATCCTCTGCAGAATTCGCTACTGAATACATATTATATACTGTAAAACTTGCTTAGTGGTGAAAATGCTCAGACCCTAGTTCATTTTAGGAAACATCCCACCAGCCTATCATGGTCCGTCCAAGTTTATAGGGTTTAGGTAAATATTTTGCATCCCTTATTAAAAACTCGTAAGCACCTACTTTAAAAATAGGCTCTTCCTGGAAGACCTTTCAATGGGTATCGGTGGAAAGACTAGCGACTACACAATAACGGCACACTTAGATATATGCTATGGTAACTATGAGTGGGGGGCTGGGGACTTAGCGTGACACTGCGGGCTCTTATGGTCTCCCGTACTAGAAAATCATAAAAGAGCCTTAGGCCCTTCCTACCTTTCGAGAAAGTAGATCTAGCTTCTAGTCTTATTTAAATAGTCGGCCCAAAGCCCTCCTACCTGCTCGATTGACTAACCGTGGATCCCCTTCGTGACGTAATGCCTATAAAGTATGAAGATATTAAGGACTCGTCTCCCAGTGATACCACTATCCAAATTTGACAGCCTCTGAGACCATTCTCAGAGACAAGGGTTCGTCTCCCGGTGATACAGTAGAATTCGAAAACAGTTTACCCCCTAGACACACAGGCTTTCTTTCCCAGCGCCCCACTTAGACTACGCTAAACTGCATTAGGTCAAGAAACGTCCCCACCTTATTAATCTAATGTATTTCTGGTAGATCACAAAAGTTACCATAATTACGGTTTCTGGCATGGGGCAACCCATACTTACCGAAATGGCCTCTGGCCAAAACTAAATTCGAAAACAGTCTACCCCCCTAGGATAAACACGCTTTATTTCTCGGCCCGTACCCGAGACCATACTAACCTATATTTAGGTAAGGCGTAAATAATTATTTCCTAATAATAGACCCTTTTTATTTCCAGAACGGCGACTTTTTGTAAAATACGGTACTTTACACTACTACCTCACTACGCCTCCATACCCCGATTTCCATCCTTCACAATATCACTATCTGAGATCTACCAGAATTCCCACGCAATATGGCACCGAGACTATCCCTATCTAAACTACATCTCATTAGTGATATAATACAAAGCCAGTCTTTAACCCATTCTTAAATGGCCGAGGCAGCAGAATGCAGCGAACAGACGATCAAAAATATCCGTAGAAACTTACGACTGTTTAGACACGTCCATACTCCCCCAACCCGTGTCGGTTAGAGACGAAGCCTAACACCACCAATGGTAGAAGCGCTCTATGACCACTTGCTAGAAAAGCCAGGTCTATACCTTGAGGAGATGGCTATCTTTCTATGGGATGAATTCCGGATGCTAGCAACCACCTCGAGCATTAGAGGGCCCTAGTGTCCTAAGGCTGGTCTAAAAAGACCGCCTGATAGAGTGCTAAAGAGTAGAGTGCCGAATTACGAGAAATCTATCTTTATAACCTCTCTAAGTTTGCATCGTACCACCTTGTTTATGTTGATGAATCTGGATATAATAAACGAATTGGGTTCCGACGGATAGGCTGGTCACCACTCGGTATAGCACTATGATAGGTGTCACAATTCCACCGTGACGAACGATATCAAATTCTACCTGCGTATACTTAAGACGGTATCGTACTCTCTCGCGTCTTTCGCGGCTCAACGGACGCCACTATGTTCGAAGATTTTATCGGTGAGCTCCTTCGGCACTGTGGAAGATAGCCGGAGCCAAAGTCTGTTCTGGTCATGGATAATGCATCGTTTCACCACTCCGAGCGGATTGCATAGATGTGTGCTAATGCGGGAGTCAAACTGGTTTACTTGCCTCCGTACTCGCCGGACCTGAATCTAATTGAAGAGTTTTTTGCTGAACTTAAAGGCTTTATTAGACGCAATTGGAGCTACTACGCAGAAGATCCCGGCCGAGAATTCGGCTCCTTTCTCGAAAGGTGTATTAATCAGGTTGGGGCAAAAGAAGCTAACGCAAGAGGCCATTTTCGGCACGCAGGCCTGACTATTGAAGAATCCGATGACTGAAAATTTGCTTTGAGCGGCAGCCTTTCATAATAGTCATTCTGCATTCAGACTGAAAGGCCGCTTCAGTAGGTAGCTAGGCAGGTAGTTTTCATTTAAGCTGACCTCTCACTGAAGTGATATGCACGCCACAACTATTATGTAAATAATGAATTGTGCGTTCCGAGTATTCGAGATCAGATTTTACTCCACTCACAAATTAGCTCTCGAACCTTAATCTGAGACACGCTCATCTAACTTCATTCTTTTCCTGCTGAATTGTATCTCCTGTCTTGCGGTGATCTATCATCAATAGTACTGTGTTGCTCAATAGAGACTTGTAGAATCTCTTATGCCAACAGCCAAAACAGAGAAGGAGTTCTGACGGTCTGGTAGGATCGCCCATCTTTCTTACCCCATTCTCAAAATATAGAGGGCTTCATCGTCGCTGTTCTGACATACCACATACAGCTGTGCTATAACATCAAGCTACACGCGGCCAACCCCGCCTCTGTATTACCTCAGATCCTGATGCAGTTCTGAACACGGAAGTTGACGATGGCATCGGATGGAGAGATATGGGCTCCTGCGAAGTCTCAAGTCCCTTTGACCGCGATTTAAGCCAAGGCAAGAGATTGAATACGCCCCCGCAGGCGAAAATGCCCAACCAAAGTGTCAACTCGCTTCCATATATGATTATGCCAAGTATGTCAATAGTCGGTCTGAACACTTCTCATAAATTAGCCACCACCGCTTACCCACACATTTCACTCCAACTCACAAACGGATACGAGCGAAAATAAATCGCCAGCGGCGTCGATACCGACGAAAAAGAAACTGATTCCTCGCACAGTTCGGTGAACGTAAATGTCCCAATAATGCCTCAGTACTCCTGCTGCAAGCAGGCATGCGCTCAATACAGCCATCAGAATGAGAGGCCACCTCAAATCGTGAGATTTAGCTTCTTTCAACGCAAATATTAACCCCGTTTCGATACCACCAAAGATAAGAAGAAGAAGAGCGACCGCGGCAATGCACTTTGTGACAGAATATCTCTATTTCGCAGTCAGTACCATGTACACAATGACGCTAGGGGGCGAACGAAACCTACCTTTCCGTAGTAGAGACACTGGGACCAAGTAACAAGGCTCAAAGCTGTAAGTATCTGAGGCTGTATTCTTAACGCCACGTTGAACTCTTTCACGATGTTGTATACCCCGAGAGGGACCCCTGCCGCAGCCCATAGTAGCATCATTGACGCTTGCAGACCTTCAGTGTTGTGCCTTCTGTAATTGATGATAATTTGGGGTAGAAGCTGAGGGATATTAGCATAAGTGAGTTAAGGCGGCGTAAAACGACGACCTACCTGGATAGACCAACAAATCTGTGAGCGTCATTAGTGGGATAAATTGAGATGGCCAACTGGTGAACGAACCGCGCCAAGAGTGCCCAACACGTTTTCTGCCACAGGATTATCCATTGTTACAAGGCACCACGATGTCAAGTTTGAAAGAGAGCATAAGAATCCGAGAAGAGGGGGGAGAAGAGTTAGCGGCAAGATAAGAACGATTCATCATAGCACGTGAACGTGGGTACATTTCCTGAAATTCTGATTGGTCCCAATCACGTGAACGATCCCGTTTAGCTTCACCTCGCCAGCCAAGATGGTTGAAGTCGTGCCCATGACGGCAGCCCCACGATGAGATCAGCAACTAGGCATGACAGGCCTGGGCGAGGCTCTAAATCCGTTCAAAAAGTGATACATTCCCTATGGACATACACGGATATACTATATATATAGTGGTCACCTAACGTTTACTTCACGTGACTCAGGGACTGATGCGGTTCCTGCCGTCTAGTTGTCTTACTGCAGAGGCCCTTAATTTGCTGGGAAAAGCTAAAGAATAATGAATAAATTGAAGCAAAAAATCACTTGTCTACTGTTAAGAAAAGTTTCGTTATCTATTTCGGAGAAATGCATCCAACACATGACCAAAAACGTCATATCCAACGCCAACACGCTTTTATCTACGCCATTTCAATAATAGGTACCCCTTTCTTCACGTTCTCAACCCAGTCAAGAATATTCTCCACGAAACTCCGGGCAATTCCGGGCTTGATCCCCTTGCCGATAAAAAATTCTGGGTTTTGATCCTTGTAGATGTGTTCAAGTTCAAATCCATCGGAAAGCGTTATATCACACGCTTGTCGAAATTCGGCCTTAAGAGCATCGTCGGATACATTGGATGCGAGCCACTCACCGTATTCTTTGACAGCTACGTCTTTGAGCCCGGGAATATTCAATGGACCCATAACTCTCAGGCCAGCTGAGGCATCTCCCGGAGTTACCGAACCCAATCCAGTGGGATGGGTCGTATTAAAATTGATACTAATGGGTGGGTACGGGGATCCACTCCCATGAATACTACCGCCTTTTCGCTTTTCTTTCTCCTACCTCTGCTGCTCCTCCAAGTAAAGCTCATCCCGGACCTCGCCTGGAACATCTTTGTGTGTCTCTAGGACACCACCCTTCTCGACATAAGTGACCAGACGCCTCAGAGTCTGCGTGCGGAGTCGATAGTGCTTTTTACCCATTAGATCCAACCAACAGTACGGACCTAAGTGGCATGCAGCCGAATCGCATTTCATCAAGTCATAAACTCGGCGCTAAATGGATTGCTAACCGCAAGCATGTTCTTCAGCATTAAGCTGCGCATCTCGATTATCAAGCATTCTCTTAGTAATGGAAGATTTACCTCTCTTCTCCCCTTTCCGTCCAGCAGATAGAGTGTCGCAATCCTCTACGTAGTTAAAACAGACCTTCAACGTGAGTCTCTTTCCATGGCAGAAGTGACTAGACCAAATCCGTAACTATTTCTCGATAGAGGCCCAAACAATATCGGTCTTGTTAAAGCGCTTGGTCAAGTCACGCTAGGAACGGTTATTAAATGCCACGACAATCGCTATGTCATCGACCCTGACCCTCTTATTGCGGGTGAGTTTCTCTCGGAGGACAGTTTATAGCTTTTCCTCTAGGAATAACCGCTAGTAGGCGCTTAGGGCCAATACGAGATCTTCCTCTATATCCCTTACCATAGCCTTGTTGTTGAGGGTGACACGCCATTCTATGCAGTAGTAGATATAGCTTAGAGGATCCTCATCGTAGATTTTATCCGCATCCTACTCAGATTCCTGGAGCAGATATAAAGTATTCGGCTGAGATCGGGTTGCGGGATTAAGATCATCTTCTACTAAGATAGATAGTGACGGACTACAGTCAGACTATGTGACATCAGGGCTTCGAAAGTATCCCGGGGTAGGAGGGGAATATTGCGATTCCTACTCCTATTGTTCGTACTCTTGGGGCTGAGTGATTTCGTCATTGTGGTACAAGCTGTCATTTATATCTACACACGATATAGGCCCCTGGAGATCCGTCAGCATAAATGGGCGATACCAGTCGTGGGTAGACACCCATAATAAATGACAGCGATAGGAGGGAGCAAGAGCCATAGAAAGCGGGAACGAGAACCATATTAGCCTACCGCGGTTAGTGTTCTACAGCAGTAGTACAGATTTCGTCATATAAGAGGCGGACGAAGACAAAGACTACGAAGAAGAGGAAGAAAAGGATGGTGTCGGTCAAGCCAGATTGACAGATCCCCCTTGCCCTCTTTTCTGCGCACAGCCCTTCTAGATCCCTCTCTAGAACTTTCCATGGAATAATACGGTATAGTACTACTATCCAAATGTGACAGCCTCTGAGACCATTCTTAGAGACGAGGGTTCGTCTCCCGGTGATACTACTATCCAAATTTGACAGCCTCTGAGATTATTCTCAGAGACGAGGGTTCGTCTCCTGGTGATACTACTATCTAAATTTGACAGCCTCTGAGACCATTCTTAGAGACGAGGGTTCGTCTCCTGGTGATACTACTATCTAAATGTGATAGCCTCTGAGATCATTCTTAGAGACGAGGGTTCGTCTCCTGGTGATACTACTATCCAAATTTGATAGCCTCTAAGACCATTCTTAGAGACGAGGGTTCGTCTCCTGGTGATACTACTATCTAAATGTGATAGCCTCTGAGACCATTCTCAGAGACGAGGGTTCGTCTCCTGGTGATACTACTATCTAAATTTGACCGTCCTTGGGTTCATTCTTAGGGTATATTGAGGGTGTCAACCTCACTAAAAAGAGATACCTCCGCGATAGGTAGGCACCTCTACGTGGTGCTAGGGACTAGTACCTAAGCTTTGTATATTAGAGCCGGGAAGCCAAGACCTACCTAACCTTGTTATACCGTAGTGTACATGAATCTATTTGAGACCTTTTAAGATCTACTAAGCCCTAGCTGGAAATCTTTATAGCCCTACGTATTCTTATGTCAAATGTCAATCTTATTGGGCTTTATCCTGCGTATTACTCAACGTGACTTAGTAAGTAATATGAACATAGCTCTATAGATGGATGGAAATCCGCAATCTATATCGTATACTGGAAGATAATGTGAAGCCGCACAGTTACCTTGGGAAATAATTTCTTAGCCATTGAAAGGGAACTGGCGTAGGCCAGGCAGACTAGTGGCGTGGGTAACGCCCTCTAGTATATTGAACGGCCGTAAACTGAAATTATTTACTGCTCCATAGATGAGGGATTCTATTAGGTTAATTCGCGAGTTAAGCCCATATATAACCATTGATATAGTACTCTAAGGGTCCGTGCTATTCTTTAGTCGACTTCCTCGTTGAACTGTTGCCTCCACTAGTGCTCCATAGTAACATGCCGTGCCTAAAGACAATCCGTTAAATGTGGTCAGACCGGTCGACCAACACCCGAAACCAAGTTATAGATCACCGGGCTCATAGAAACCCGTACTTCTAGTGGTATTATAACTCTAGCAAATTTCTCGCCATGAGTTTCTTTATAAGCACTTGGTATATTACCGCAAATTTACTTTGGGGTCTTAAAAGTGTCTGCAATATGCTCTAGGAATACCGTTCTGCTTCGACTCGACTATGGCTGCAAGCACGATCTTTAGAGTGAATTCTTAGCGCACGAGTCTGTAGGAAAATAATATAAATCTACCACTTTGTCCATATTATACCTATCACAAGTCCATAGATATTATTGTAACCGATATAAACGAAAACATCTACCAATGGCAAACACCATGCCTCCATGCAACACGAATAGCGAGATGGATAATTTGGTATGTTCACAACTCCCTCTTCTCCTATAGGCTATATATTAACCTGTACTAGAATTTCCTTCAGATTCTTTCGAGGCTCGATGCTCGGGCGCTTCGGGCAGAGCGAGCCCAAGCCAAGCTCGAGTAAGAGTTAAGTGCCACCAAAGCGAATGCCAAGCAAATAGCCGCCGAACTAGATTAAGTCAGCAAGCTGGTAGAGATATTTTACGAGGTCAGTTAGAGAATGGGTCTAGTAGTGGACTATTTATTAAAGAAGCGGGGCGTCAGAGAGAGGGATCATGAGCTGGAGTCGGACCATAAGCCAGAGTCGGTTAAGAAGATACTTAAGGAGGTGTTAAAGGAGCTAGAAGGCGATTTAAAAGCCACTAAAAGATATGATAACGAGAACGAGAATGGTGGCTTTAAGGCCACATAGCCTGCCGACTGAGCAAGTTTGTGGTGGAATGGTCAAATAATACGTTGCTATGCCTATTTACCGTGTGTACTATAGTACGCTACTGGAAAATACGACGTTATAAGAGAGATAGTCTGTTTATAGTATAGCTAGGAGTATATAGTATACTAGTCTTAAAAGATATATCGGGAATTAAATGTCTTCGAAATAGTACCGCTTATCTCGATAAGCCTAATGAACTATTAGAAGCACTACTCTTGGGCCCGGACACTTGTACGGGCCCTGGAATCTGCACTAGAAGCATGTCGGCCTAACTTTTCAAAAACTAAATCGCAAAGTACGTCCATTCCCGACGCCGCCGAGAATGACCACTAGCGATAGTTAGCCGCTCCCTCGCTGGAAGCATCTTTTGATCAAAGGCTCACGCCGTAAAGGGTAGTCTCTCATTTAGTAATCCGCGCCACATGAAGCGAGATACCTATGCCTAAGCTAATATTAGTGTAGGAGCCTTGATGAGGAGGGCAGAACGTGAAGCCCATCGCCTGGGAATGCATAGTATAGGGCCGATTCTATTAGGATAGGTTCTGTTACTGAGCGTAAGAAAGGATAAATAGACTGGAAGATATCCTATTAGCAACATTGCATTCTAGGGGGGACTAGCAGTGTAAATATAGTTTATGTTTTGGATAACGCTTCGAAAAAATATCAATAGCAAAGGTGTTCGTTGTCCTGATGGCCTTGGCGAAAGTAGTAACGCTCCATCTCTATCCTTTATATATTCCGCCCTTTACCCTTAAGCTCTGCTGGGACCTATCCTGAAAGCCTATCGCATGGCCTTATGAGACGGCAGCGGCTCGCGAAGCTACCTAGGTAATAAGACATCCTATGTTAGACTAATTTAACTCTATGCATTTAGTGATTGTGTCTAGCGATTGCATCTAGCGCTAAACGTAAAGTTTTGGTCGTTCGCGATGCAATCGGCATCTACGACATAGCATGTATCGGGCCACGGTTAATAAACGCTAATTAGGAGATTCGTTAGCTAGACAGCTCTGAAATAGCATAAGATAGATCGCTACGTTAACGCGGGATTCTTTAGGCACGATATTCCGGCACTCTCTACTATTATCGTTCCTCTAGATATATCCTTTATGGTAATAAGGATCTCTTAGTAGTCGACTAAGACTATAGTAATCAAAGATGTTTATGTTAGAAAATGGGAGCGTAGACGAGTAGGAAGATACTATGTGAGGATTTCACCGTGGAATAACATAACCCATGGCTTTATAGTGAAGATAGAGATTTATTAGACGTAAGGAGGATCACCTACTCCTAGGAGGACTAGGTCTAACGCTAACTAAGAGCGTATCAATCTGAAAGTTCTAGGGTTATTAGTCTAACAACCTCAAACGGACGGTAAGTTAAACAGGCATTAAAGTACTAGTGCCTTAGGTGACCCCACGCTAGCTGGCGAAAGTAGCACCGAACGAGCTATCGGTTATGTAAGAGTTATTTGGGATTTTAGAGTATATACGCTATCCGTCGCGTCTGGTGGTTGACGGTGAAAGCGTTCATGGGACCTATGGGCGATTTACGTCCCGTCGGTCAATGTATGCGCAAACCTTGACTTAGATGCATCACCGTTGCCTAGATAGCAAGCGTCGTTTAATAAGACCGTTAGGTCTACGGGTACGATTTTGATATTAAATAACACCTCTATATTAGAAGAGGCATCGTTAGCAGCATCCTTTCTATCACGGGACTAGTAGTAAAAGTGCCTAGCGAATAGAGTCTAGTGCTTGTAGACTATAAGAGCAGTCGTTATCACAGACTGCCGAGCTACGTTAGCTGCTAGCGATACACGCCAGTTAACCTAAGCATCGGCCACCCACTATATGGCTGAAAGAAGCCCCCAATAAAAACCAATCGCCGCTTCTTTCCCCTTCGCCAGTTTCCGAGCCTACGCCCGTTATATTAGGGGCGAGGCCCGCCTTAGACCCCTCTACGCAGCCATTAACGAACGAGAGTCCGGCTTTAGCGATTCGATATATCGCGGAAGACCCTTAGCAAACCTACGAGGCGATTATTAAGATTTTCTAGACTAAACGGGTTTTCCTTGCCCGCCATCGAAGGAATAAAGCGGAGCTTATCCACGTCTAACGCCTAGAGCAATCCCCTTCTATGGCTACCTTACGCGAGACCATAAGCTAGCTATCGCATCCGAGCTTCTATACACTCCTCGAGACTTATCATCACGCGAATCATACATTCCTGGTGTGGGAACTAGTAGCACTCTCTATAAGCTAGGTCCTGGCATCTAAGTACCTCGTTATAGAGAGTAAGATCCTAGCGATCGTTCGGCCTATATATGGTATCGGCATTAATCCCGGACGATCCAAACTAACGTGTAGCAGGTCCTCGAGGGAATCAGGCATCTACGCGACCGGGGGAGAGTGCTCGCCACCCTAAGCGCCGACACTATTTTGCTCACGGATACTAGAGGGGTGCGGATTAGTAAGACCCTCGGAGACAAAGGCACAGGCCATAATACTAACGGCGGTCTATCGCACAGCGGGGGCTGAGCATAGTTGCAAGATCAGCCTTACGGAGATAGACGCCGCCACGTCCAAGCTATTCGCCCTAGCGGAGGTTGTGACGAAGCTGATGCAAAAAAATCCACCGCCGCATTAATAGAGTGCCGAGATCACGAGTCTACCAAATCGATTAAGGAGCAAGTCTATAGAGGAGCTCTTACAGGTTAGTCTTGCCTTTCTATGTCTGGTGTTCGCGACTGACCAAATAGAGCAACATCATTAGGTGGCAAACGCGGCATGACGGGGAATTGAAGTTGCTTATGTGCGTGGCCAACAAGACCGCCTATCACCGAGTTAAGTCCTTTTCTGACCGTTCGTGAAGAACGCCATAGTATTCTATCGTGACACGGCAGACCCTCGATTTTTACTCGCGAAAGCGCGAACATAGTGGACTATCAGGCGCCTAAAAAGGGGGGGGGGGGAGTAGGGCCAGCAGATGTTGCCACTAATTATGAGTTGGGATGAACCCATCGGGTTACTCTAATCGGGCTCTCCAGCCACCTGAGGCTTAAATAACCAGGCTCGAATCTTGACTCTGGAGATGGAATTGTTCTGTAGTAGTTTTCGAAATCAGTTTGACCCCAAACTCTTTCCACTTGATTGTCGGAAAATAGTTCCTTAGTTTGCGAGCTATGATTGGATGTTATTTCAAGATTCTTGAGCCCAAACCGCTTTCCACTATAGTCAACGAATCTTACAATACGTCTTCAGTACCTTTTATGCCGTAATTTACATGAAATTAGCTGAATACGGGTCCACCCTTCCCCTCATTCTCTGCATGACAATCAAGAACTTCACGTACATCGACTTTCTGCTTACCGTTGTTAGTGCAGACGACATGGCTCCATGACTCTCACCTTCAAAGCTTGCGCTTGTTCGTGATATGGTCAAGAGCAAATATTTTCGCACATCTGAAATGGCTGAGCAGGCTGAATGTAGCAAGCACACCATCATCAGTATCCGCAGCAACTTGCGACAATTTGGAAGCTTATACGCACCACAAACCCGAGTAGAGGCCACAGCGGGGTAAAAGAAGATCAACTCAGATTGAGCTCGCCGACCGCTAAGAATCAATTGTGTATTTTGTTTATGATTGGTAGATGAGACAGCGAAGTTGGCTTGGCTGCAGCTGAATTGTGGAGTTGAAGAGTAGCTGAAATGACGCAACCAGCTGGTGCCGATCCCAATTGTCAGGCATAAATAATTCGACATATTCTCGTCTCATTCTCTGGAGATTCTAAATTTATCATCATTTGCAACATACGAGGTCATCAAAATGGCATGCAATCACTATATATCATTGCTTGATCTTTCCCAGATTAGTCACTAATGTTTTCCCAGCCAACCATTATCCGCTTCGAAGATCCTGACGCATTTGGGGAACACCATGACAAGGTCGTTGAGTAAGTTTTATATATATATATGTAGGTTTAAGGACTCTTTTAATAATCTGGTGTCTTTAGGATCCTTGAAGAAAATGGCATTCCGCAAGGTAGTTATCCTGCTACCAAGACCTTTCCTCCGATATACATCGTCCCTGAGTAAGTATTATTTCCGTTGCCTTTATATGGAGATTAATTGAGCTATTAAGTGTGTCATGGGCTGACTGGGTGATCAGGGTTGAATCCGAGGATCACCCTAGCGTATCTGGTCTGAGAGAGCTAGGGGGAGTTATTGTTGATATTCAAACTGATGATGATTAATGGTCCACTACGAGGGTTTCTAGTTATGTATAGTATATATTTCGGAATAAAGGTCTTTCTATTCCAATATACTAATGGGCCATATACAATCGCTGCTTTCTATTGTCCCTATCAGTATTACCCACCTACCTCAAACATATAGATTATTTTTAAATACCCCCAAGATGCTATATCGCACTTATGCAAACAAATCTATATAGAGAAAGCGCCGTCAGTGCTTCCACATTTCCAATTTCAGATATTGGCAGTCCTTCCTGTCCCTGCCTTCGATATTCTATCTAGTACGAATATTCGACGCATCAAAAAACCGCACACTTACGGGATGACCCGTATCAGATTCGGGAGTGGCAACAAGTGCACGAATGAGATGCTTCGCATAAGATAAGATCCACGGAGAAAAATTCCCTACCAGGATCAGCTCTACTCTGTGTGATGACTGGCGGACGTACAGCGATACACGAAAGGCTGCGCTGCATGCGAGAAGAAAGAGCGGGAACTGGCAATCCAGGACTAGGACTGGTGGGAAAGCGGAGAACGGACAAACGATCTTGCCAGATCGCCAGATCTACCAAAGCAATTTGTCGGTAAAGGTGGAGAGGAATTTTACTAGCGCAATTTGTTTCATTCAACATCCATTCTCCCTGATTCCCAAGGCATCAACTGCTGAATCAGCATAAGAAACCCCCTTTATTTTACTATGAGAACTAGACAGAAAATAGACATCTCAAGTACTGTGCAATGGCCTCATTGGCTTCTTCGGGTACTAGCGCATACTGCATCTCTCAGAACCGATACAATTCTACAGGATTCGATGTATCATAACAAATTTATTACAGCACGTTGAAAATTTGGTATAGTCATTACCACCTCTTTTCTGCCCAACAAATAGAGCGGTAATACTTCCGGGAATCAAGTCGAAAGAGTTTGGGGACAAACTGATTTCGAAAACTACTGTAAGGCGAAATTGTTTGGCTAAAGTTGATAGGGTTTGTTTGATGTGGCAATCCTAGTTTGTGCACTCTATACTCGTACTTGCATTATTCCTGATGTTCCTGATTGGCAGTGTGGTGAGGTGCTTCTCTCTAAGAATATATATATACTATACGTACATGATTTACTGCCTGCTTAAAGTCGTCCGCCTATGGTTCCTTCACCAGTAACAATATAACATAGACGCGCTTTCCTTCTAATCTACCAAGGCAACAAAGCATGGCAGAGCATAGATTACTCACTGGTCAACAACCATAGCTACGACAGCAAAAACTTCCATATAGGAGTCATCACCTCGCGCCGTACTGCTTACTTGATTCGATTATCGAGTATCCACGTGATAAAGGCATCCCTACACGCTCCGGGAGTGGTCTAGTCCCATTTAAGTAGCCATCGCTCTATGATCCCTAGTATTCCTTAAGTCGTGTCCCGATCTTAATCGCAATAGGACCGGTTAAGGTCTCTGGTGTGTCATCTTTGGATGCGGTATCCTGATTCTGCAATAAATATGCCTGCAATAATTGTATTGCCTCCGCAATGCCTGTTCTGGCCCGGACCAGCTCCCTTTCCTGGTGGTCTAACTAAGATACTATAGTCTCTATTTCAGTCTAAAGTGCGCAGATTTGGGCGCGAAGACTGCGCCCTTCACTATTAGATTCCTCTAAATAGGTGCGCGTGCGATCTAACTCGAGGCTTAAGCTATGATTGGCGTATTCGAGACTATGTAGCTTGGTGGTGAAGGACCCATCTAACTCGCTATCTCGGTTTGTTTACTACTTCCGAATACCTTTAGCGTTAGATGAATAGATAGATTTCGAAAGGAGCCACGTAACTCACCTTTACTATAACTCTTCCTTTGGTTTTAGGACTAGACTAGGGCCCCTATAGGACCTGCGGCAAGATAGCCTCGAGCGAGCGACCGAGCTCTTTATAGATCGTCTATAATAGACCCACCGTTCCGCTACTCAGGTTCGACTACAACAAAAAGGCCATTAGCTCCATAACGGACCAGGCATATCCGTCCTTAGGAGGTGGCTATAGGCGGACCTAGGCGGGAGCGATAACGAGGCTAAGTCGATCGTCTAGGGAAGTTAGCGTCGAGAGCATAGCGGCGAATAAGCGACTAACGAATGTGGGCGGCTAGAGCTTCTCGATATTATTATTTCAACAATACGCGCTTCTCGTTGCTACTTTTAGCCATTTTGCTTTAGTTAGCGATACCATATTCCTACTTAATGCTTTTATTTACGGCCCCTCCACTAAAGCCCGGCGAGGAGAGCCCGTCAAAATCGCCTCTAACTTAAATATCGGTTAGATTAAGCATGGTTCGTGGTATATTATGGTTAGCTTACCTATCTATTTAAATAATGGTTAAGTCGTCCGTTAAAGCTGTCCGTTAAAGCTGGTCTTCACCTCAAAATCCAGTAATGACAATATAAACTAAAACGCTAGATTCTAGCCACACTAATGGCCTTAAGTAAACTATAATAAATAGAATTCAAGTGGGTATTATAATAGCAGTTATTTATTATCCACCACAATCACTCTTTCTTAAAGTCGGTCCCATGCGGGTCTTAGTGGGTCACTAGTTAGACCTACCTTACGACGAACTAAACTCTCCACCGTATTGCTTTAACGCTAGAAACGGCCACCGCTATTATTTTTGAGGGCGCATTTATAGTTAAATTATCTATAAGGAGATCTCTATCTAGTGACTGACATAAGTTTAGAGGTATAGAATATGAGGAGATGGTAAAGTACGAGCGGTAAAGAGAGGGTGGTAAAGAGAGGGTGGTAAAGAGAGGGTGGTAAAGAGAGGGTGGTAAAGAGAGGGTAGTGAAGAGAGGGTGGTAAAGAGAGGGTAGTGAAGAGAGGGTAGTGAAGAGAGGGTGGTGAAGAGAGGGTAGTGAAGAGGGTTTTTTAACTTTCTTAGGGAGAGCTAGCCTTTTACTCGCTGTTAGTTAACACAAACTTTAACGACCTTTGCTATGAGAGGGGCATCTCTTTATGCCAGAGCAGTCCCACCGATATTTCTAGTGACCACGTCAGATTTTAAAGGGTAGAGAAGCCGCCCTATATACATAGCCTGAATATTAATGCTTTATGGATAGTAAGTGAACTAGCATAGTAGATAGCCGCCCTAATTAAACTGAGCAGAACGCAGCGTACAACTCCCCCGTCCCGCTAGTGACCGTTAAGTCTTCCGCTAACTTATCATCGCCTTCTTTCCTCCTATAGGCTACTCTGGACGGCTCGCGAGACCCCTGCCATAGACCCTTTTGAACCAGGTCTGGAGACATAGAGGTTAATCTTAAGAGCCGGCTAGCTTGGATCGCCAGATTTATTTGCTAATGTACTGCTATTGGTTCCCGCTTAGGAAAGCATTAGCCATATGGTCACCGCTAATGGCAAATTTAATACTATAGAAAAAGAAGTACTATATAATAGTAGAATTCCCTATATCTATTAGTCGTATATTCGTAATTAATCTCTGTTACTATAAGTGCTTTAAATCCGCCCTCCTTGTGTACTAGCGCCTGCGGTCTTATCCACGATTAGTTTCTACTTAGTCTATTAGTCTCCCGAGTGAGAGTTATTAGCTACTTAACAGTCGTAGTGAACGGCGCTAAGGGCCTAATGGCTGGGATTCAGTAGAAGGACCCAAACGCCCGGCTAATCGGGTAGATTAGCGCGGACTAGGCGTGTTAGACTGGTTAGGAAGACGCAACCCTTCTACCGCTAGCCGCGGCGTAGCTATAGTAGTTAAAGCGCTAGTATTGTGTTCTAACGAGTTCGTCTATTCGGCATTAGCGGCGCTTAGTAAATAAGCCCCTTATAGCTGATATTTCGCGACGAAAGCTCTGTCGTATATACTATTCTCTAGTTAGTGATGTTCGGCCTGTATCGGTTAATCGCGCCAGATGTTGCTTACTATTATGGGCATAACGTATAATATCCAGGCCGCTATATCCCAAGCCATAGTTCTATACAGTCTAAGTAAGCCATAAACCTATATCCTCCATAATATAGAGTCACCTCGTTCTCATACTCTCCGTGGTAGATATAGCATTTCTCGCGGCGTGAATTAGAGCTTTAGGGTGATCTATAGGTGAAACGTTTAAGCTTTAGAGCCTGCGGCCCCGCCTTATTATTCACAATCATCAAGTCAGCGGGAGCCTCGTCTAATACTAACCAGATCACCTGGTTCGCCCGAAGCATAGCTAGCGTGACCTATCGGTCTCTAGATAACGGGCCGAGTTACGAAGGCACCAAGATAGATAGGCCAGTAAGTTCAACGCCGTCCATTACGCGGGATCGCGACTAACTCCGCCTTTTAGTCCGCCTTTCAGGATTAATAGCGGAGTATCTTATTAATCTAACTAGCCTTAGAGGGCGGCGAGTTACGGGTTAAGACCGGCGCGTCTAGGGCTAATTCTGAATCGCGGCCTCGTACCATCGCTACCCAACCAGGTCGGCCTAGCGCAGCTAGTGCCATCTCGTGCAGAGGAATTCTACTGCAATATCGCGCAACTTAAGCTAGAGATTATTAACACTAAAGGGTCTCTCGGCGAGGGCGTCTAGCTTCTGGCGACCACTCTTAAGAACCTCTTTTCTCACCGCGTTTTTGCACTAGTCGCGTTTTTGCGTGATGCCACAGTAGGCATTTCCGTGCTTAAAGGGCCCACTACCCATCTCATAGATTAAGAGCGGGTTCCATAACCACGAAGGATGGTCCATTTTCGGGAAGGCCAAAGTATGTTTAAACTAGATGAAAAAAGAAATACAACTATCGAACTTAATAGTGAAGAACCGGTCATCGGTTATTACAGTGGAACAGGTATTTATAGTCCTTCTCACCAGTTACTTAAATGCATCACGGGAAGATCAATCCGCGCTAGCTATATAACGGGCTAATTTTTGACCTTTCACGGAAGATAATAGCCCCTAGGAAACCATCCTAAGCTCCTAGAACCTAAGTGACGGCCTCTAGGAACCTATCACGACACCCT